CAGCAGGAAGATTAAATGCTCCAGTGAAGAGATCAGCACAGTCTGGTCTAAAGCTAGTGGTGGAAATGCACAGGAGGCACTGGATTTGGGCGACTTTTCTGAGGTATAATTTGGTGAGTTGGGAGGTCAACTGGAGTGGGTGAAGAAAGGAAGGACGAGTCAAAGATGACTTCAGATGGTGATGCCCCTTGTTTCTGCACGACTCACGGGCTCCACAGAGCAGGCGTCACATGAGCTGCACGTGGGAGGTGTTACGTGAATCGCATCTCGAAAGATCACCACGCCTTCACTTCCCGACATGCAGAAGAGCCTTCCAAGCAAAGAAAATCAGATAGGGAAAATGAGAAACTAAAAATCTGGCTGTGAGCAGGCTCGTGGTAGTTTCGGCAAGAATAGTTTCATGGGAATGAAGGAGGCTGAAGCCATCTTGGAATGCGTTGGAGTGTGACTAAGAGTCGCGTCAGTGGAGAGAGAGCGTGTGTGGACAATTCTTTCAAGAAGTCTGGCAGTAGGACTTCCCTGGTGGCGCAGTGGTTAAGAATCTGCCTGCCAACGCAGGGGACACGGTTTTGAGCCCTGGTCCGGGAAGATCCCACGTGCCGCGGAGCAGCTAAGCCCGCACGCCACAACTACTGAGCCTGTGTGCCACAACTACTGAACCTGCGCTCTAGAGCCTGCGAGCCACAACTACTGAGCCCACACGCCTAGAGCCCGTGCTCCGGCCACTGCAAGGAGAAGCCCACACACTGCAACGAAGAGTAGCCCCCACTCACCACAACCAGAGAAAGCCCGCACAGCAATGAGGACCCAACTCAGCCATAAATAAATAAATAAATAAATAAATAAATAAAATAAAGACAAATAAATAAAATTAAAAAAAAAAAAGAAGTCTGGCAGTAAAGGGAAAGAAGGTAGAGCAGTAACAGAAAGATGAAGAAGGGTTAATGGAAGAGTGTGTGTGTGTGTGTGTGTGTGTGTGCGTGCGCGCACACGCGAAATGTGTTTTCAAACAAGGTACTCAAAATGCCAATAACCAAGGGAAAGGCCAGAGTTACAAAGTCTTAACTGAGTTCTGTACTAATCTGATCAAAAAAGAGATTATAAATTTTCAAGACATTCCAGAGACACATAGGAGAACCAAAAAGGCAAAGAAATGTGTGTGTCCTCACCTGCAGCACCAGCACACCAACAATCTGCCCAGGAAATAAAGCAGGAGGGAGGAGCGGGTAAAGGAAGATTCAACCAGAGCTGATCAGCTAGGCAAAGGGGTCAGAGGGAATCCTCGAACAAGGTTCTACAGTCGGTTTATGTGCAAATGAGCTCCCGCTGAAGCTCAAAACAGAAACTCCTATCTTGACTGCATCCTACCAGGAGGAAGAAAAAGGGCTAAAGCATGTTTCCAGAAGCAATTTTGGAAATCCATTATACTTTGTACAAAGTGTATTAGATGTTGAGTAAATGACACCCTCCATACACACACACACACACACACACACACACACACACACACACGAACACCCACAATATAAATGGAGTCTGCACATTAGTTTAAGAACACCACCCTGGCAAGTATTAGCAGAAATTCTGAAACTCTCTTGCTCTGCATCTTTGTTAAAAAGATAAGTTTGGGTGTGGTTTCCTTTACAACTAACGTTCTATGTTGATTGCTACATTGAGAACGGATATCCTGACAGTTGTTTGGGTCACTCAGGATGTGTGAAGGCAGCTATGTTTGCTCTAAGTTTGTGTGAAAGCTATCAAAGAGGAAACCTAGAACACCCTGCAAAGGTCATTTCTGTTCATCCAGAGTGACCACATGAATTCACAATTCTTCCTTTTTGGCTGAGAGGTATTCAGGCCCTCCTCCACTGGCTGGTAAAGAATTTATTTCCGTGATAAAGTCTTCTGCAATTGCAATTGCAGATAATGCAGTCCCATTAAGCCCTGGTATGGAAACACATCTGGGTTGCTTAGAGTTTGTCCTTTCCACACTCAAGAAGGCTGGCCTGATCACAAAGCCCAACAGAGATCAACCTGGATTATCAGGTGTGTAACTCAGCCACAATTCTGGTGTGAATAGTTAGATCTCCTTCAGGATATAGTGAGATCATTTGGAATCCAAGAAGGAAGTGCAGTTTTCATGAATTTGTCCAGGACATTCCACAGTTTTATGCCACAGCTAAACACAGTAACTTCTTATTTACTGTTGCACGGAGTGAGAAAAGCATAAAATCATTTGGCTACTTGGGCATGGGCCTTTGATGATTTAAAAGCTAATTTAGCAGGAGGGAGAAATGTTTGGAATGATCCTGAACAATGAAAATGTTTCTGAAGCCACAGATGCCTTTAAGCAGAGGTCTAGGACCTGTGGAAAGGCCCAGAGGAAGAAATACATTCCCCAGCTTTTCTTAGTGGGAAATCATGGCTCGGTGTTGAGCATATCAAATGCCCCCCTCATCCTCCAGCACATTGTGTCTGTGCATGACAATAGGTGTAACAATAGAAAGTGGTCTCTTTTTATTTATAAACCCAGAGACTGGAAAAATTATGAGAAGATGCCCAAAGCTGGGAGATAATTTTATCCGAATATGCTGGAGGGTTTTTCAAACTACAAGAATCTCTTCTGATGTTGAGAAATTCTACATTTAAAGCAAAATGCTGTCATTTGAGTACATAAACACTTTGCACCAACATAAACTCGAGATTGCATCATCCCATTCATTCATGCTTTCATTCGGAGCACCATTATGTAATTCTGCAATGTTTTGGGGCTATAATGATAAGACTCAGTCCCCATTCCCAAGGATCCCACAACCAATCCTTAGGATAAAGGAGCCTGGAGAGAGAACCAATGGAAAGACGCAAGAGGCTAAAATCTCTGAGGGCTCTGAAAAGGAGAAAAAAAGGACTCAAAGATTGCAACCAAAACAGAGAATTAACCTGCAGGTTAATTAACCTACAGGTCTGACACCAGGAAACGTGTTTAATGAATTCTTAAACATGGTCCTCATAAGACCTACCACATGTAAAACAGCTTCCTACTCCTCAGTGATTTTTCTTTCAAAAAGAATTTATTTGTCAATAAAATCAGTTAGTCTGGGGAGAATGTGATATGGGAGGGCTACACATGTAATCTCTTTGCACTGGTGATGTGCTCACGTGTAAGTTGGACGGGGGGATCCATGGCTGTTCACTTAGTTCTACACTGATAACTTCCATACATGTTACATGTCTTTTTTGGTGTTATCAAACATTATATAACTTAATAAAGATAGCAGTCAAATAACAAAATTAATGTTATAGGGTAAAATTTGAAAATTGGCCCCTTCCCAAATTAACTAACTTGCTTGTCACAAGCTGTTATGAGAATCAAAAGAAAAAATATGAAGTCTTGAGGCCTGGAAGAGAGATGTGCAGCTACTTTCCTGCCCTTAACTGTGACCAATCTAGCAAGAATATCAGCCGACAGCATTATGTTAATATTAAAAACATTACTATGAATTCCAAGCACTTGTATAGCCCTTTAGAAAGCACATCCTCAAACATTTGTCTCATTTGATTTTCACAAAACTCTACACGGGAGACACTGCAACGTCCACTGAAAAGGACACGGCTCCCTCCGAAACCTCAACTAATGGATGTGAGGAACAACTAATTCCCATTCTGCCATTAGCTACCACCTCGTCATTTCTTTGTGGTGCCCTGCACATTTCTGTATCATAAAACACAGTGGATGTCAATAGCACTCGTTTACTGCATGGTTACTATGTGCAAAATACAGGCCCCAGCTAATTGTTTATGTACATTATTTCATCTAATCCTCTTAACAGTCCTGGAAGGAAGCAGTATAATTGTCTGTAATATGACACATTAGAAAATGGAGGCTCAGAAACATTCAATCCCTTGCCCAACATCCAGGAGTTAGTCTAGGACTAGACTCCAGGCCCATCAAAAGTCAATGTTGCTAACCCTTGTCTGATACTGTCTCCTGCAAAAAAAAATGAGCCCTCCTGAAATCCCTTTCTAGCATCTTCCCAAACACTGATTAAGGCAATGTTCACAAACACCCCATCCTATAGGGCCCACTCACCATCTGGACTTTTGGAATCGACTCCCTCAGAAGGAAGATCATGCTCTTTAAGTTCTCTGAGCTGATGTCTTCTGACAGTTCATAGAGCAGGTTTCTAAGACATACACCCAAGAGACAAATTAAAGTTCCGCACTTGCAGAGGATGGGCATGAAATTGAGTGCTTTTATCGTACGTTATCTCTCATTTGAATGACCACAACCCTGTGAGTAGACAATTATTAATCCCATTTTATAGATTTAAAAACAAAAACTTTGGGCTTCAAAGTGACCTATTAAACGACAGCAACACAGTAAGCAGTAGGAGCAGGCCTTCTGATTCCAAGTCCAGCGCTGTTTCAAATTCCTCTAAGAAGGCATAAAACACAAGGCCGGCATGCCTGCCCTCCTCCAGACTCCATTCTAGAAATCAGGCTTACTTTATAGGCCCTCATCAGGGAGGACCCAATGCCAGTGAGTATAAAGTTCACTGTTGAAAAAGAGTTCACTGTTGAAAAAGAAAGGAAACTATCCCAACTTCTGGAGAGCCATACAGTCGACAATTAGAATAACTGGATATGGGGACTTCCCTGGCGGTCCAGTGGTTGGGCACGGGTTAGATCCCTGGTTGGGGAACTAAGATCCCACATGCCATGCGGCACAATCAAAAAAAAAAAAGAGAAAAGAAAAACTGAATACTTCATTCACAGGTTAATAGCTCTGCATGCCTGAGACCATTCCTCAGCTGTCTAACCAGCAGAGTGGAAATAATGACCTCCAGAATACCCTCACTGACCCAAGGGCAGCTCAGGTTGTAGGAACCAGTTCAAGTGTTAAGGCCTGAAGGATTCTAACCGTCCAGGCCGTAAAATAGTATTATGAAGGCTCCACTTCGTTAGGCTGTTTGATGTAGATACTATGTTAGTGGACCGTTTAAAACAGCGTTGCTTAAGGTCTGATGCCTTTATTCTACCTCTTTGGGCAAAATACCTATATTTTACCTGTCTGGGTTTCACCCCAAAACTGGACAAACTGGACATGGCATAAATGATGTCCCTCCCTACCCCAAAGGCACATCTCCTTTTTTATTTTGCTCACTTGGGTCCAAGTATTCATTTCTCTCTTCTCAAACGGCTAGGTATAGGCTGACACACCAGTGACTCACTGGAGGCAGGAGGCTGAGAGCGTGGAGGCTGACAAAGAGGAAGGCGCTGGCCCGCTGCACACGGAGCTGGGCCTCCTTCCTCAGTGAGAAGCAAAACAAAGGGAAGCCACCCCCAGGCACAGGGCTGGGTTTTGAAACTTTGCTGACCTCCCAGCCTCCCTTCTCATTAGCACCTGAAGTTAAGAAATCTCCTGCTTTAGAATCACCATACCAGCCAAGGAGGTAGATAAGGGGGGTAAAGAAAAACAACCTTAAAAATTAATTCATCATGAATCGCAGCCTCTTTTCAAAGCCCAATGGCCCTGCCGTGTCGATCACCTGAACAGAGAGACCTTCCGGCGGACAGGCAGCCAGTTCTCCACCTGCTCCTTGGTGTAGCGGAGGTGCCGAAGGAGGGCCTTCTGCTTGATGGTATAGAGGAGCTCCGCTAGGAAGAAGGGGTCTTCCTCACTCAGCCATTCCTCTGCCAACAGGTAATCAAAGATATCCAAGGCTGAGCCGCACTTCTCCAGGTTCTTGGGGGCGATGGAGTCTCGGCAGAGGAACTTCAGGCGCTCCACATCTTGATCCCCCAGGTACGAATCAATAGTCAGAAGCGTCCCTCGAAAGTTCACTTGACAGTTATCATCTAAAGTGGAATTCAAACTTTGGCCTTGCGATGTCATGGCCAGCCTGAAAGAGATACGGAGTTGGGGGCCGCAGCTTAGAGAGTGAGGACAACAGGGCACCCCATCTTCCCAGGCCCTCCCCCAGTTCCGGCCTCCTCTGTTCCAGGCCTTAGACTTTTCTAGAAATGCTGAAAAATGAAATTCACTGCGAGGTCACTTCAAAAACCTATAGCTCAGAAAATGTGACCCCAACACCGGCAGGTTAACCTTTTAGGAGGTCTGGAGAGAGCTTTTATTGAAACTCAATTGACCCCGAGTTCCCCCAAATCAAAATGTCCCCACTGGGAGCTAGTCAAGAGGGAGGACGACACAGCACAATTTCTCCTGCCTGGAGCTCTTAAGTCATTCCCACCAAATGGCAGAAGTAACACTTTTACATTTTAGAAATAAAGTAATGGGGCGGGGTGTGGGGGGGGTTCATTTCTGAAGTATCTACCAACCCAAGGACAACAAGGTAACATTGCTAACCATATGAGGGCAGGCCTTTCTTTATCTCACAGAAAGAAAAGTTATAATCCCAGACCACAGAAAGAGTGGTTTCAGACAACATTTGCTCAAATCAATGTAGGAACTGACAAATTACCGAAGTCAGTATTTCCACACTAAATTTCATTCTAATCAGAGGAGCAATGAATCGATAACATTTTTTCAATGTAATTATTCATTCTTTAAGGACTTGAGGTATATATTCACTATGCAACACTTAGCTATTTAGAAACAAGAAACTACTTTCTAAGGGAAGGCGAACATATCAATGACAAAAAAATAACAAAGAGTGGTTATATATAAGTGGTATAATTACAGATACTATAAATTTTATTCTGGGCTCCTGGCTGAGTTTCTCAAATTTTATGCAATGAACGTATATTACTTTTATAGTTTGAAAAAGAAAAAAAATGTCATCTTTAACGTGAGCATCTATTGGGTCTTACCTTCTAGTAGCTCTGTGATACCAGAAACAGTATGACTGGATTCCTGGAGATATCTTATTCTAACATCGTACATTTGTCTTGCAGTTTCCTGAAAATTCTGATCTCTAGCTCTGGCAAGTCTGCCAGACTTTGTCTCTATTTATAGGCTAGCATATTTCTACCAGGAAAGGGCTATGTGGGAGTTTTCCTAGGGCTAACCTTTCTTTTACCCTGTTAGGGCTAGTAAATCCGGGCAGAAACAGTGCCATTGCTGACAATGTGAGATTGTGCAAGTATCCAGGAAGTAAAGCAAGGGGAAAAAAAAGGCTGGCGCCTGAGACCCCAGCAGAGAAAAGGTGTTAATTACATACCTTCAGATCAAATTCCACTGATCCTCTGGAGGTAAAAAGTTCTCAGAAAAATTTCCTGAAAACAGAGCTTTAAAGAAATTAGAATCCTCTTCGTGCTCCAAGTCCAAGTTCCAAGAAATCTCCCGTTTGCGCGGTAAGAGAACTCAAATTTGCCTTGGCCTAGCAAGTGAAAACTCGGTCAGCCGATTTGGGAAACTTATGCTAATTGATGATGTCATCATTGACTCACTCGCCTTGCCTCCTCCCCTTTCCTGGGGTTAGGACAATGCTGACAAACAGCGTCTGCTAAAGGCAGATGCCTAACCTTCCCACTGTAGAGCTCAGGACCTTCCCATGTAAAGCCGAGGGCTAACAGAGGAATTTCTGGAAGGCACTAAGTACTCTAGTGTTTCCCTGGGGTCACTCCCCTCGTAAGTTAAAAAGGGAAGTGTTGATTTTTCCTAACCATCTCCTTCCCCAAACACACTAACTTTTCAAATAAAACTCAAAATGTTCATGAAATAGTAGTCGGCCATCTTAACCCTTTCTCAAGTAAGTACAGGTGCAAATAAACAACAAAAAAATTTAAGGCAAAAAAAAAAAAAAAAGGAGGGGGCTGGACTCTAAGCCCATTTGGAAGTATTTGCAAGGAACTGAGTTAACAGCAGGCAAAACTGGTGAAGTCTCTGCCCTTCCAGCACATTCAGTCCAGCAGGAAAAAGACTTCAAAGACATTATTTCACATAATAAAAACAATACCTAACACTTGTATCCCAACTACCATGTGCCAGGTACTATTTACTCATTTAATCATCCCAACAACTCTCTAAAAAAATACTATTACTATGACCCCTCTTTTAAGATGTGAAAATTAAAGCACAAAAGGTTAAGTAATTTGCCCAAGATCACACAGGGAGCTGGTGGGAGGGCCAAGATTTAAACCAATAAGTTTAGCTTTAAGCCACTACACTATAATTCAGCTAATTCAAATGCACAGAGCTGAAAGAAGTACAGAATCTTAGAAAGATATTTTATCTCTGAAAAAAAAAGATTTATGGGGGAGTTCCCTGGTGACTCACGCTCCCAGTGCAGGGGGCCCAGGTTAGATCCCTGGTCAGGGAACTAGATCCCACATGCATGCTGCAACTAAGAGTTGCTAAGGAGCCTGCCTGCTGCAACTAAGACCTGGCGTGGCCAAATACATACATACGTACATAAATTTGGTCATGGAAAAAGTTATTTCTAAAAAAAAGATTTATGATGCCTTATTAACAAATGTATTACAGTGCCATTTCCATATCCTAGGCATGAAATTCTGTGTTTAAGAAAGACAAGCCCAGGGCTTCCCTGGTGGCGCAGTGGTTGAGAGTCCACCTGCCGATGCAGGGGAGACGGGTTCGTACCCCGATCCGGGAAAATCCCACATGCCGCGGAGTGGCTGGGCCCGTGAGCCATGCCGCTGAGCCTGCATGTCCGGAGCCTGTGCTCCGCAACTGGAGGGGCCACAACAGTGAGAGGCCCACGTACCGCAAAAAAAAAAAGACAAGCCCGAGTGGTGATGGTTGCACAACAATGTGACTGTGTTAACGCCACTGAATTGTACATCTGAAAATGGTTAAAATAGTAAATTTTATGTTATGTATATTTTACCACAAATTTTTTTTAAAAAAGATAACGATAAGACAGACAAGCTCTAAGTGTTGGTCTTCTATTCATTTCTTCAATTATACATATTTCACTCCCTGGACCATCTGGGAAGCCAATTTGATGAAACTATCGCTTCTCACCTTGTTCATAAAATATATTAACTTTTTCAACTTTTGTTCAATAATATTAAATATTTAGCAAGCTCTTCCTATGTGTAAAGCATGAACTCTCTAAGGTCAGTGTCATTATCCATATTCAATAGATGAGGAAATCAAAGTTCAGAGAGGAAAAGTATTTTGCCATCATCCCAACCCTAGGAAGAGTTGGGAGTTCAGGACTGACACCTAGGTCTCTCTAATTCCAAATCCTATGCTCCTGATCCCAAGGCTACTACTGCCACTAACTCCATATGAGGTAATGTAATTTCTGTAACTATTGGGCAGGATGATGCTGCAGTGGGGCTCACCTAAGCGCCACAGGAGCCCCACAGAGCAAGGCAGGAATCCAGATGGTGATGCCTTGGAGCTATTTGAGCTAAGCCTGAAAGGCAGAAGTAGAATAGAGACACCTGAAGTAAAACTTAAACTTTTATCCTAGGACTCCCAGTACTCAAGGGAAACACTTGAATCAAGTTAAAGGGGGGAGATCGTGTGCTATGTTATTTGCATTCGGCATTTCATACTTCCCATTCAGAACACAATTACTGAGGGCATGCTGATGGTGAGTTGATAGTAGTGGAAAGAATAAACATTTCTTACAGCCTCTTTCCTGATTGGTTGCAGTCAACTTGGTCCATATGAAGAGCCAATCAAAACCTACCACGGCCCTGGTGACAAAGGGGAAATACCAGATGTTTCCTATTTAGTTCGGCCTTGGGAGGGGGCGGTGGTGTCAGTAATTGGCTTTCCTTTACATCCAGGATCTGGTCCAAGTTCCCCCCCACACACACCAAGTAAAAACTCGTGAACTAAAGAATGGACACAGTGATGGGGAAGATAGATGTAGGAGCTGGAAAAAAACTTTGTGCCCTGAAACTTTCATTCCAACTCCTGTTCCTATGGTAGCAGGTTCTTTTGATTATAGCTATCCCATCCCCAACTTCTAGGACTCCCTCCCTTCCTCACTCCATACTTTTATTCACACACTTCAGACCTTCTCAGAACTGGTCTTACTCCAGGTATATGGGAGCATGATGAAGCTAAGTTCTAAAGGAGAATGCTTTTTGCGGTAAGGATCCCAGCAGAGGTCTCCAAATGGTGCACTGGCAGGAGACTATAGCTAGATGAGTAAAATGTGACCCATTTTGTTTTCATTATACTACAGAATGATCTATTTTAAGACATTTTTTGGCCTTGCTGCACAGCATGTGGGATTTAGTTCCCCGACCAGGGATCGAACCCATGCCCCCTGAAGTGGAAGCATGGAGTCTCAACCACTGGACCACCAGCAAAGTCCCCAGACTGATCTGTTTTAACATGTCTCTTTCGTTAATAAAAAAAGCAGTTAAAAAAAAAAAAAGAGGTGAGAAACTTCCAATATTTAATGTAGAAAGGCTGGAAAACAGGGAAACACACAGTCATTTATAACCTATACTGTTAAATTTTTATCAAGTCAATATGTTGTACACCTTAAACTTATACAATGTTGTATATATGTCAATTATATCTCAATTTTTAAAATTTTAGTGTATATCCTTTCACTTTTCTCTGTGTAATTATTTTTCAAAAATTGAAATAAGCTGTACAGTTTGCTTTTTTCACTTAACAACACATATACCTTTTTTTCATATCATTAAATAGTCTTTGACAACATGATGCTTAGTGGTTAGATGATATTCTCTTCCCTGGATATACCATATTTATTTAACTAATTTATAGTTATTGGACATTTAATTCATTTCCAATTTTTTACTATTGTGAACAGTGCTGCATTGAAGATTCTTACAAATAGATCTCTGAACGTATTTATAATGATTTCCTTAGGATGAAACCCAATGTAGAATTAGCAAGCTAATCTTTAAATTCACCCTTCCCCACTCTGTGAACCCCAAAGGCCTTCCATCCCACTTTCTTATCCGTTGGGTTTGAAG